TTCTTGATTCTTGTTGGAGCTGTGTTCATCCCTGCTAGTGAGGAGCATTCCATCATATTAATAACTTGTGCCTTGCAGATGACGGACAGGCTCTGGGGAGTCAGGAGGTCAGTTACCTGTTGCAGTATTTCTAACTTCTGACTTGCTCTTGTCGTCACAGCTTTGTATGGTTGGCCCAATTTAGCTTCTGGTCAATGCTAACTTCCACAAATATTCATTGTGTGGGATCCAGCAACGGTAATGCCCCTTGAAGTTCAGTGGCAATGGCTGGCTCTTCTCCTTGCAGCTTGCTCATGCCTGCGCATTGCGTGGCACAAATGTTAGTTGCCACATATTAGCCCAAACGTAGACATTATCCAGGTCTTGCTGCAAATTGACATTGACCTCAATATAAACATCTCCAATAATGTGGCAAATACTGGACTATTTGGACATTATCTAATTTAAGGAGATTTTTACCATGCGACTTCTTGGAAGCTGAAACCAAAAGTTCAATGTGTGCTGTAGGTCACCTGTTTTTACCAAAAAAAAAAGGTATAAGCACAGATGTCAAAAAGTTCAGGAGGTGGAGTCTGTTGCTGTAATTACTGGAAAAACCTAGCTTTAACGTAACTAGAGACCTCTGCTAATTGTTGCCTAGCAATTCCTCTGATCTTAGAACTCTGTTCTACAGACCCTGCAGTCAGTGCAGTCTCTCTCCTGAAATCCTATTTCTTAAAATGTCATCTCTGGGCACCCAATTGAAATACTCCTGTTTGGAAACACCATCTGCTTGGTAAAATCTGAAGTAGTGGACGATGACTAAATCACTACAATTTGATTGCAAGTTGATTAGATTCAGAACTCGATAATTTATCAATCCACATGCGTTAGCAATTCAGCTTCAGGTGATGGCATAGGGGTATTGTCACTGGACTACAAATCCAGAGTCCCAGTCTAATGCAACGGGGACGGGGCAAATCCTGTTATAGCAGATGATGGAATTTTAAACTCTATTCACAGTGTCTGGAGTTGAAAGCTCATCTCAGTAATATGAGTAGTTTTATGATGTAGTGCGTTAAAGCACCTGGTTAATAAACAGACTGAATTCACAACTCAGCAGTGCCCTGCTTCCAACTCAATCTTTAAGGGGCCCCTCTTGTGGCACAGTGGTAGCGTACCTAACAGGAGGCTCGGGTTCAAGTCCCACCTGCTCCAGAGGTGTATAACAACATCTCTGAATGGGTTGATTAGAAAAATAGGCTAGGTAAAAACTTTTAAAAAAGGAAACTTAGACGTTAGAAGCCATCTAAAAGATGCACCGGTTAAAATTGTGTCCAGGATCTGCAAGCTAGGTGGATTAGCCATGGGAAACATGTGGTTATGGGAATAGGGTGGGGGAGTATATGGGATGCTCTTCGGAGGATTGGTGCAGACTCCAAAAAAAGGGGTGAAAGTTCTCTTTCTGCACTGTAGGGATTCTGTGATTCTACCTTTCCCTTCCAGGCCATAGGCACACAGGTGTTTTTCCCTTTTCCCCTCTTGCCTTTTTAAAAAATGTCATCTTTGCAGAGATTGATCTGGTTTTCTCTTGTGGGGGTTTGGGTGGGGGGGGAATGGGCGTGCAGATTAAGGGTGATACAGTTTTATTGCCCACCCATATTAGATGTTGAGCAGACTTGAAGAATAATTTTTGTATATAATAAATGGATGATGTGAGGTGATCAAGGAAGCCTGGTTGATGTCTTTATTTATTCGAACCAGCTCACAATTTTCCCTGTTTCCCACTGGTGCTAACTTTGCTCGGCACCTTGATACTACACGGTCAAATGTAGCCTTGATGTAAAAGGCAGTCTAGTTGAACCAGGATTGATCCCTTTGGAGGTACTGAGACATTCCAGTCCATTGGGTTACAGATTGTAATCAAATGTGATTCTGCTATGATGACCCACACACCTCATGGATGTCCAATCTTAAATTGCTAGAGCTGTTCTAAATCTATTCCATTCAGCACAATGGTAGCATCATACAAAAAGATGGAGGGCACTTCAAGTGAAGACAAGGTGTTATATTGACAGTGACTGTGCAGCAATCACGCCTACTGATAATCTCCTACAGAGATTGGAGAAGACAACACAAATGCTCCACAGCATCATTCCAAGTCTGTAAAACTTATCCTGGTACTTTGGCTAATAGTACGGCTCAACTAAAAATCACAAAACAGGTCAACAGTTATTTACGTCATTGCTATTAGTGGGAGATTGCTATCTGCATACCAGCTGAATTTTCAGCAGAGCCTCATTGGCTGTATAGCACTGACATGCTGCAATTTTGAAAGGCAGCTTCTGAAACAGCTGGAGGGAAACTAATTCACAATTGCCACAAAGCTGTTTTGACTTCAAGGAGGAATCTTCAATCATAAAACCATGATCAAAAATGATCAGCACTTAGAGCAGAGTGGTTTTCTGCAACACTCAAGCATCCTGAAGGCTCTGTCTGCGAATAAACTTTGACCAGTTTCCTCTCACTCAGTCATTCCTTCTCTTGATTATTCAGTCCTGGTGACATGTCATTCCACCTCGAACCATTCAATACTGCTTCCTAAACACCTCTACAGCTGTTCCAGGACTCTCACCTCAACCAATCTACCATTCCTTAGACTACATCTGCATTACTTTGTACATTTATGCGGAACTGTATTCTACTAGAGGCTGCTCATTGCTCTTGCTGTCCCTCTTGTTGCTAAGTGCCGAGAAGGTAAAAGATCTAAACTGGTTGTAGACTTGCTCACCAAACTGTTGTGTTTGGTTGCAGATGTTTTGTCACCGCACCTCTAGTGAAGTGTTGGTGTTCTGTCCCACTTGTTATTTATATGCCTCGGGTTGCTGGGGTGGTTGGCATGACTTCCAGTTCTGTTTTTCAGTGATTTGTATATCAGGTCCAGTTCAATGTGTTTGCTGATGGAGTTCTGGTTGGAATGCCAGATCTCCAGGAATTCCCTGGCACCTGTTTGGCTCGTGCTATTACAGATGTGTTGTCCCGGTCAAATTTGTGTCCTTCTTTGCCCATGTGTATTGAAACCAGTGAAAATTGGTCGTGTTTCTTGGTTGCTAGTTGGTGTTCATGTATTCTTGTCAGTTTTTTTTTCCCAGTTTGACCTATGTAATGTTTTTCACATCCTTGCACGGTGTTTCGTATATTAGGTTAATTTTACTGGTTGTGGGTATGGGATCCTTTATGTTCGTCAGTAGCTGTCACAGGGTGGTTGTCGGTTTGTGTGCTATCCTAATACCTAGAGGTAGGAGTCATCTTGTGGTCATCTTTGAAGTGTCCTGCGGGTGCAGTAGGGTGATTAGTGTGTCTGGCTATGTTGCGTCTTCTTGTTGTGGTCTGTCACGGAATAACGGTGGATTGTGCTTTTTGGGTATCCATTCCTTTTTAAAAACTCCGTACAAGTGCTCCTGTTAGCTTTGCGTAATTCCGGATTGCAGCAATGTCTTGTGGCCCATTTGAATAATGTCATCTAAGGTCCTGATGTTGCTCCGTTTACAGGGATTGGGGTGGCTGCTGCAGAAATTAACTATCTGGTCTGTATGTGTGGTCTTTCTATACACGTTAGTCTGGAGTTCCCCGTTGTTCTTGCGTTGACAGATGACCATAAGACTACTCCAACCCCTGGTTTGTGGGCTGCCCTGATAACTAACAACCACCTTGCGACAGCTACTGACGAACATAAAGGATCCCATACCCACAGCCAATAAAACTAACAATATACAAAATACCATGCAAGGTCTATGGAAAAACATTACATAGGCCAAACTGGAAGAAAACTGACAATATGGATACATGAACACCAACTAGCCACGAAGAGACATGACCGATTCTCACTGGTCTCAATGCACATGGACAAAGGAGAACACAAGTTCGACTGGGACAACACATCCCTAATAGTACGAGCCAAACAGCCATGCCAGGGAATTCCTGGAGGCCTGGCATTCCAACCAGAACTCCATCAACAAACACATTGTATATCAGGTTCAGTTCAAACCACTGAAAAACAGAATCAGAAGTAATGCCAACCACCCCAGCAAACCAAGGCATATAAACATCATGTGGGACAAAACACCAACACTTCACTGGAGGTGCACTGATGTTACCTAGCAGGGTGATGAAAGGTCTGCAACCAAACACACCGGCTTGGTGAGCAAATCTACAAACTTATCCACAACCCAAGCTACAAATCTGGTCAAAACCTTGAGATCTAAACTGCCTCCCTGACTGTTCACTGGTGGTGGTAGGATTAGGAGGCTACTATTTTTAGTTCATTCTATTCTTAGAAACAATGACATTTCCACCATGATCTCTGAACTGAGAGCAAAATCTGCATACAACCACCTGGAAAACAAAAGTCCATTTTACACAGAGAAAACAACACTGGCAACGTCCAGCATTCAAAGGCAAAATGTCTATAAAAAGCAGTGGGAAAGATCTCACATGGAGTTATTTGTTGGACTGTTATGTCAGTGTTGTTTGAGTCAATGACAAAAGATGTAAAGGAGTAGGCCATTTGGCTCCTTGAATCTGCCTCTGTCAAACAGAAAGTTCATGGCAATCAAACTGCAATTTTAATTCCACTTGCCTGCCAACCCTCAAGCGCATGTTTCCAGGATGGTATAGTTGCTTAATATGGTAAACAGCCCATTTCAAATTACAGTCCAACTGTTACGAAGGGCTCTTGTGGTGCAATGGCAGTGTCTCTAACTCTGGGCAAGGAGGCCCATGTTCAAATCCCACCTGCCTCGGTTGTGTAATAACACCTCTTTAGTAGGTTACTTGAAAATATAGCAATGAATCTAATCTGTTATTTGATCTGTACAGAATCAAACAGGACAGGTGAGCCACTGTCTCAATTGGACCACTCAAACATGAATTACCCATTCCCACTTAGACAAAAACAATCCTTTTACTAAGCTTCCTGCTGTGTTTAAACCAAAAAGACAATAATGACATTACAACCTCACCTTTGAATTGCAAGTTTGCTGCCTCTTCCAAAAGCTCCTCCTTCATGCTGCTGAGGGTGTCAACGATCATATCTCTCATTTCCTCCTGTTTCCGGTTAGCTATGCTCATCAGTGACTGGAACAACTCATTCTCTTTGTCCCTGGTGTACTCCAGTCTCTTGGGAGTGATCTGCAAGTCTCTCTGCATGTCGAAGGCCTGGTTGATGAAGATGTCCAAACATCGGCAATGGACACCGTTCAGCACAGTTGCTGCATCCACAAGGTGCATCTGCACCACTTGCTTTGCAAAGATACCAAGCTGCCGAAACTTCTCGAAGTGTTCTACCAACGTGCTTTGAGCTTTGCTACAGTTGGACTGCCCACCAATGCTGGAACTCAGGAAGTCCAACTTTGTTAGCTGACGATAAAGATAGCTTTTTTCCTTTTCAGACTTGAAGTTTTTCACCGGGAGGTCCTTGTCTGGACCGGAGTGACAGTCTGGGTGGAGAACGCTCAGGTGTTTTGGTACCTTTATGAAGAAAACTGGCAAGGAATGTTGCCTCATCTCCTGCAGCTCACTTTCTTCTGAGGCTGTGAAACGATCCTCACTGAGGGCATAGACAATAATTGGAAGGGAATGCCGCCAACAGTCATCAAACTTGCCCCCTTCAGCTCCAGTTTCATGGCACGGAAGGACGAGAATATCCATTTCCTGGAACAGATAAAGAATGGTTAGAAACAAAATCAAGCCCCCCATGCTGTGACTCAGTGCTAATTTCACCTCAGAGTCAAAGCCTGATCCAGTGACGAGGCAGAACATAAATCAAACCAGACATCTTCGGACAGTTTTCAGAGAATCCAGGTCAAAGATGCTGTCTTTTGAATGTTGAACAAAGGATCTGATCTGTCACTAAGTTGGATGTTAAATATCCCACTGCACTACTCAAAGACAACCAGTAATGTCCTGACCAAATTGGACGTTCAATATTATATTTTTGTTTTTCAACAGCATGCTGTGTATCGAAGTAGCTCTCATTTCTTACTTTGCACTCTATAAATCATTTGGATATCCTGAAGTAATGAAAAGTTCAGTACAACTGCTAGCTTGTTTTTATTAAAAACTAGAAAAAACTACAGATGCTGTAAATCAGAAACAAGAACAGAAGTTGCTGGAAAAACTCAGCAGGTCTGGCAACATCTGTGAAGAGAAATCAGAGTTAATGTCTTGGGTTCATTTCAGAACAGTTCTGAAAGGTCACAGGACTCTAAACGTTAACTGATTTCTCTTCCTCACAGATGCCGCCTGACCTGTTGAACTTTTCCAGCAACTTCTGTTCTTGTTTTTGAGTTTGTTTTTATTTTTTTTTCCAGTCAGGGAACAGTACTAGCCTGGCAAGTACCAAATGCTTACTAAGTATTTTATGCACATCTTGGCTTGGAGGCACTGAGAACATGTTCCCAGGATTCAGCATTGCAAGGAGAAAGCTAATGGCAGGTACAGCCAACACAGATGAGTTGGAAGAAAGTGCATATTGTAATGGAGCAGTTAACGGGCTCTCAAACAGCGAACACAAATTCTCCATCTCTCAACAACCTAAGGGGGCATCTGGAGATGGATTGAATGAAGATAGCAAACTGGACCCAGCTAGGAAAACAGCAGCCTCATTCACCAACATGCCACTGGACAAAGCTTTGGTTCAGAGTTTGGATTTCAGCCAGGCAGTTGAAGAGTTTGATACCAAGACCAGATCAACCGATCACTAAACAAATGACTGTGCGCTACTTGATGACTGCTTTTTTGAATACACCATATATGCATAACTGTTACACTGCAAGTTCAGTACTTTGAGACTGGAGATGCTATATGAATGCAGTCCTTCTGATGGCCTCACCCATAAATTCATTGCCACTTTTCCTCATGTCAAATTTAAATTAAAGCAGAGAATCTACATTAATATACCACCCGCAACACAACACAATTAAACTTTCACAGACAATGCACAGGAGCTAAAGTCAAAAATTGATACGTTAAGAAGCCTAAAATAAAGGGAATGGGGAGAAAATACTCTGCGGCCCATCTCAGCCAAAGAAAATCCTACTAAGGGCACGACGAAAGCAAAATCTGAAATAATTTCACAAAAGGGTTCTATATGCTGAAAAATATTTATCAAACTACAGGAAGCAAATTCAAGGAGAGAGAGTCATCTCAGTTCAGGACTAACTACCAGGCGTCACATTCTTTGCTGTCATTCCACTGATTATGGATAAGACTTTGCCCTCGTGTGACAAGGGCAGCATGGGAGCATGAGCAGACATCCTTGGAAAGGTAAGACAACCATTCAATGCAAGAGCAAATTAGTGTAGATGCTAACACTTGGTCGGCTTTGATGAAGAGTCATCTAAACTCAAAAACATTAGCTTGCTCTCTCTCCATAGATGCTGCCTGATATGCTGCGATTTCCAGCATCTTTCGTTTTCAAAACATTCAGTGCATGAGCTTTAGATTTGATTTTGCACATTTGATTGCACCAAGTAGTACAATGAGGAAACAGCTGCTCAATGTTAGTTATTTTGAGCATCATGGTCACAATGTACTGTGGCACAAATGAAAAGGAAAAACCCACAAAAGGGAACAAGAACCAGGATCTCAGAAGCTCTGATTTCTCACCTGCTCTCTGTAAAATTATATTTTCCACATGCCCAACTTTCTCCTCCTCTGACGAAAGCTCAGATTCTTGCTCAACTCGAAATATCTTCCAGCCCAAACATTATTCTTCACATAACGGACACGGAATTCAAGTGCTAGCCTGGAAGACTGTGGCTTGCTGATTGGAACAGTTTTCAATTTATCCACTGATAGGATCAAAGCCAGTGGCAAACAAGGTGATGGTGTTGTGGCAATGTCATCGGACTAGTAATCAAGAGCCACATGTTAGTGCTCCGAGGACACGGGTTTTGAATCTCACAGCAGGTGGCAAAACGTGAATTCAACAAAAATCTGGAATAATTAAGCTAGCCTAATGGCAACAATATACCCACTGTCAACAATCAAATATCCCTTGATACAATGTCTTTTAGTGAAGGAATTATGCCATTCTTGCCTGGTCTGGCCTATATATAACTACAGACCCAATGCAACGTGGTGGACTCAACTGCCTTCAAAAATAGTTACGAATGGGCAGTAAACGATGGGCAGCAAGCCAAGCGATGCCCAAATACAGTAAACAAATACCAACCAAGGCCAGCATTTGTTGGCCATCTCTGTTTGGTGATTATGGTAAGAAATTATCTGATCAGGGTAGCCATTATACGCACAACGGCTTGGATGTGCCCAACCTCAGTAGTAAATAAATGGCTCAGGCCATTTTGATGTGGTTGACGAAAAGGCCAATCTTAAATCATGTAGAATGTTAGGAATCGCTATACACATGCTGACCAATGAAGATAGACTTGTGGTAGATAGCAGTAGAAAACACCCTGGTCCATTTCTAAATTAGATTATCATGGAACAAGAACTCTTTTGACTGCTCCATTTCAGATGTAAATTTGAATGCAGGATGGAGCCCATAAAGACCTCTGAGGAAATTCCTCACTGTGGCTGCTGACCAGAGCTAGCCTCCCTTTAACATTTAAACAAAACTACCAGTCATTAGGTAACAGGCATATTCTCCATTACAATGCCTCCAGAGTCTACTTGCCAACATATTAGCACTCAGTATATTGAAATGTTGCTTTCCTCTAAAGGTAGTATTTTCAAAACTGCCCTAATGAGTGCAAGATGAAAAGTTTCTACAAAATGTCTTTTTTCAGCAATACCCGAGTTCTGTACTGCAGAATAACCATAAACCAGAATTCTTTACATTTAGGTATTCATTCTTTCTTAACACATTCGTGCCAACTCCACCACCATTGTCACCAATATTTCATTACACGAAAGCATTCTGCAGAGTTAGCCGGAGCTTGAAAAGATCAATAGATTTCACAACTGTCCTTGCATTATATTTCAAGAGTTTCCTTGTTGATCTTTCGCCTCCGTAAACATGAGCTCAACCAAACCTCAGCTGACCATATCCTGAAGCCTGTGAGGCATGGCAGCAAGCCAAAGCAGCTCTATATTTGTGCGTCCCCATATTCAAGGTATTCTAAGCCTCCAAGATCTTGGACTTTTTACGTTACATAAATTTTAATTCCTCCACTTTTGCCTGATGCACCTTCTGTTGCCACGCTCCCAAGCTCTGAAATTTTCCCATGAAATCTCTCTACTTCTTTCTCCTTCAAGATTTTCCTTAAAAACTTGGGCCAAACATTTGGCTACCTCATTGCGGTTCAGTGTCAAAATTTTACTGGATAATGTTGCTTGCAAGTACCTTGCGACATTTTATGGCATTATAATGCTCTATAAACTAGTTTGATAAATGTATTGTACAAGTCAAATTGCACTGCAGTTTGAACTTGAACGAAGGCCTGGTGACAGCAAAGTATTCTCGCTCTAGGAGATGAAAATGTGGTACTTGAGGTCGTAATAACAAAGGACTCAGCTAAAAAATTCCTAAAAAAAACTGTACCCACTAATTATCAACAATCCAAGAAAAAAAGTGTCTTGAAGAATCTTTTTAAAAAAGGGCGGTTAAGTCTTTGGAGGAGGAAAAGTTTTGGAGAAACCTACAATTGATGAAAATATGAAAAGTGAAGACTAAATTAACCCTCCAAGGCTTGCTTCAGACTGTAGTCAATGTAGTGGGACAACAACAATTAGTGAAAAGAATATTTTAAACTTAATTTTATTTAGACCAACTAATATTTGAACTACACACTGGTAAACAGGACAAGTTTGAAATCACAGTAAAATTTCTCATCTGGGATGATTTGTGCACAAAAAGGAACTATTTTCAATGGAGAGAACTTCTGTACCTGGACTTGAACCACTCCAGGACAATTGTTAATTCAATTTCTTTCATCCAAATCCCAACAGGTTTGTTGGAATAATTATAACTGGCAACAACTTTGCAGAAACATTACTGAACTAATTCTCTGAACCATGATTTCTATGACAAGACTGATTGTGTGTCTTGGCACAATTTCTCTGCACGACTAGAGTTGAGTTAGTTACCTTCTTGGGCTAATAATGCTGAGCAGCCCAAATAAACAGAAACAAAACATGCAATGCACATTGAGTACACCTTTCGATCACATTTCAATTGTTGTTTGCTACGTTAGTTAATCTCCAGAAAAAAACAACTTGGATTTGGGTCCCAAGCCAAAATATCCGCCTCTTTCACGACAGCAATTTCGGTCTTCCTTTCTTTCAGATGAAAGATTTATCTGGACCATCAGCTGTTTTCTCAGGTTGACGTAAGTGATCCTAGAGCACTATCTGAAACAGTAACAGTGGGGTGATGTCAACAGTGCATTAGCCAGTTTTTATGTAGCAGGTCAATGCTAAGAAAACAGATTTCCTAATCATTAGCACATAGCTGCTTGGCGGGAGCTTGCTGTGAACAAACTGGTTTCCCACAAGACAAAAGCGAAATATTGCAGATGTTTGAAATGTTAATGACTATCAAAAATGACTGAAAAGTCAGAAGGTCAGGCAAGCTCCATGGAGAGGAATAATTAGCATTTCATCCAAACTGTAATTGTGCTGTACCTCAGCTCTACCGAATCCACACTTCACATTTTCTACTAACTATCAGACTTGCTACAAATCACTGA